TCTTAACTACTTTAACAATACTACTTTAATTAGTTGCCTGGCATGAGGCCGCTAGTTTACCTGTACCTTTCTGACTAAAGGGCATGGTACCACACTTCAGATCTCTGTGTGTCTCTTATACTGAAGGTAAAAGCCATAATCAGATTTCTTGAAACACTGTTAGGCTGTATGATTAGAAAAATAATTATTGCTCATCCTTTATGATACCTGGATTCACTTCTGTGCGTAGGCTACAGATAGACCCTGTATGTGCTAGGTTGATCAGCTGAAAGGATATTTTCAGTTGCCATTTCATAATATTTTTGTTGGCTGAAAGTTTGTATAGAAGGGCAAACAGCCTTCCATGTGCTTCTGTCAGGTGTGTGTGGGTTGCAGGGTGGCACAGAACTCAACAGGGAAAGATCTTTGTTCAGAAGTTGCTTAATAAATAGTAACGCTAGAATCACTTAGCAGTTTACTTGGTACCGGACTTCAGCCACTGGAGCTGGATAAACTGAACTCTTTTTTTTTCTTTTTTTTAAACAGTCTGTGGTGCACTCGATAGAACTGCAGCAGACAGATGAACATGACCAGCCCCTTCAAGACTGTGTGATTGTGAACAGTGGCAAAATAGCTGTAAAAGAACCATTTGTAGTTGAAGTAGGTGACTGGTGAGACCAACAGTCAGAATGGAAAGTAAAACTTAATCACTTTTCTTTAAGGCCTGATTTTGACCAATCTCAACTATCCATTGTGTTTTCTCCTCAAAACATATGAGGCTATATTTAGACAATACTTACAATTTGCCAAGTGCACTAAAAGATATCACCATTTCTGTAACAACTTTGTGGAGCTGTCACTCCTTGAAATTCAAGACCCCACTAAATCTTAGATCTTGCAGAAAAGTTTTTCATGAAAAATATCTGAAGTACTTCTATTTTTTCAAGGTTTGAAATACACTCATTTTGTTCTCTTTGGAAATTTTTGCAGTATTTGTTTCTGCCTTTTCAACAGAAAATTCTTTCTGTAACACTATCAGCATTTTTAAAAATAAAGAAAAAAACCCAAATGTTTTGAATAAATAAACTTTGATTTCAAATAAATACTTAATAAAGAGCTTTTTAAATTTCCCCCTCCAAAGGCCTTTTTTCTCACCTCAGTTGATTCTGCAAAATATGTAGGAGGTGCTGCTTTCCAGGAAATGAGGTTGTAAGGTGGTGGTGTTTAACCCCAGCTGGCAGCAAAGCCCCACACAGCTGCTCGCTCACTGTCCCGCAGTGGGAGGGGAGAGAATCAGACGGGTAAAAGTGAGAAAACTCGTGGGTTGAAATAAAGACAGTTTAATAGGTAAAGCAAAAGCTGCATGCATGAGCAAAGCAAAACAAGGAATTCATTCACTGCTTCCCATCGGCAGGCAGGTGTTCAGCCATCTCCAGGAAAGCAGGGCTCCATCACACATAACAGTTACTTGGGAAGACAAATGACATCACTCCAAATGTTCCCCCTTCCTTCTGCCTCCAGCTTTATATGCTAAGCATGATGTCATGCTGTATGAAACATCCCTTTGGTCAGCAGGGATCAGCTGTCCCGGCTGTGTCCCCTTCCATCTCCTTGTGCACCCCCAGCCTCCTCGCTGGCGGGATGGTGTGAGAAGCAGAAAAGACTCTGTGTCAAGCAGAGTGTAAGCTTGTGTAAGCACTGCTCAGCAGTAACTAAAACATCCCTGTGTTATCAACGCTGTTTTCAGCACAAATCCAAAACACAGCCCCGTACCAGCTGCTATGAAGAAAATTTACTCTATCCCAGCCAAAGCCAGCACAACAGGATAGAGCAGGGATGGTAAATTTCTCTTAATGTGTTAGATAAAGTCCCTGCTGTGTATCAAAAAACCACAGTATTCAGATACAATCCTGTAATCAAGAAAGAGCAGCTCTGCCTATTGTTAAGTAAGATCATCAGTTAGAAACTGATTAAAACAGAAGAGTCCTTGTTTTACAGCACAGTGAATTTTTAAATACCTAGCTAATGTTATTTATGATAAAGTTGAAATGCTTTTTCTTACAGTGTTGCTCTATGTCAGAGATGCAGCTTTAGGTGCATTATTTTTGTAATGATTCTTAAGTAACTCCTAAGCTGACAATTTAACTAGTATTTTTTAAACAAGGTCAGCATAAAGTACCACTTAAGAGACAGCTGTTAGGTTCCTTAATGAATTATATAGTACTCCCCAAGAAAGAGATGTGGATTTTTTCTCCTTCAGTTTCCAGTGTTTTAGAACTCAAGATGGAAGAGCCGATGCCCATCTGATGAAAGATCACCACTTATCTTCCTAGTGACTGGTTTCCTGAAGGGTGTCCTGGAGCCCACGTGAGGTATCCAGGCTTTGAGTGGTGTATGGGCAGAGCGAGCACCACAGCACAGAGCTCGTAGGTACCTACTGGCACCCTCCTCGCAAGGGAACAGGAAGACACTGTGGGCAGCAATTCACCTCCTGACACACCAGGTGTAGGTTCCGGGGTGCTTCCGCTGATGCACCATCCACAGTTCTGTGGCCTCCCCTGAGGGTAAATGCTGATGCTTTTTTTCAGAGACTTGTGAAAGGGTTACTGTCCTCTTTGAAACAAAGCTAAAGGAGTACTTGTCAAAGGCCTCTAAATTTGCCTAGTACTAGGCAGTCAGACTTCCATGTTACCCCTGTTCACTTTTTTTTTCTACTAACTGTATAAAGTAAAATTCTCTGAAAAGCAGCACTGGGAAGCAGCGTTAGGAAGTCAGAGAGGGAATGCCTCAGACTCCCTCACCCAAATAGCTTTCTGTGAGTAGCTGAAATCTTTCCTGGAGGTTGATTCTGCACACAGTGTAAAGAGTTCTGCTACCTGAACAAGCGCTGCAGTCACCAGCTCACCTTTTATGTAATTCACAGCTTTTCACCATCCCCAAGCAGCTCTAAAACAGATTTAGTAGTCAGGAGGAGGCAACCCTGCATCTCCAGGATCAGACTTCTCTTCAAGTCTAGCTTTGCTGTTACTGCCTTTGTGCAAGGCTCTGATGAGCCTGGCTTACCGGCTGTTCAATTATACTGTATTTTTTCCCCCAAGACATATACTTCTATAAGCCTAGCATGTTCAGGTAGCATGGTGCTGAGTTTTAAATGAGCAGACACCCAGCTATTTTCTTATGCTTTATGTGGCAGTATCTGTGAGACCCATCTCCGATGACACAAGCTCAGAGAAATGTCCTGTTTGAACAGAAACACAAAAAACCACTGAAGTGGTACATTCACATTGTACTAATTTATTTTGTAATGTCCAGTAGCACACATATAGATTTCCAGTTAAATCTGAACAAATATATATATATATATGTGTGTGTGTGTATATATATATATACACACACACATACGTATCAGTTTTAGCTTTAACATTTTACTACGTAATCATATTCTTGCTTTAGCTTACCACAGAGTTATATGCTCTGTGACTTATAAAATGTTAAGATATGGAATACAGTCTGCGGGTTGACATGAAGAGTAAACATACACACAGGTTAGATGTCATAACTGAATGGAGATGCATAAATGCCATGTAAAACCTCCTGGCAGATAAAATTGTTTCAACTGAAATCTAGAAAATTTCCTGAGAGAGCTATGTGTTTCAGAATGCGGAAGCATTGTTTTCCCATAGAAACTCTCCATACATCTGCACTGGCTCTTTTCCAACCTGATATTAAGGAGCAGATTCAAAATAATTTAAGAAAAAGTAGCTTTCAATTTCTTCTTGCCTTTTTTTTTTTTTTTTTTTTTTGGCATTTTTTCACAAACTCCCTTCAATGCCAGCACTTTTAATCCATCCACTGCCAGCAATGGGTAATGTGCTGGGAAAAATCCTGGTGCAAAAACGTTTAGTGTAATTTATGACAGAAATTACAGAAATAATTAGTAAAGCTTTCAATTATTTTCAAAGGTTAGTGTAATTCAGTGTATGACTTTCAGCTTTTAGTGTTAAATAGTTAGAGCATGTCAATATATAGAAGGTATAAATAACTTCAATACTGTTGTTTCCATATCTTTTCTTTTTAAAGCAGCAATTGTAGTGACATTGATTTTCTTTAAAAAGATAAAATACCTGACCTTAAACTGAGGTTATGCCTCTTGATTCTGAATGTAATTTTCACATCCCAGAATTTTATTCCTGTTAATTCCATTAAACATGACTCAGAGACTTGATTCAGCTTCTTGTAGCCACACGTCACTTCTACCTGGGCAGTAAATGAGGATAAAATATTCCATGTAGAATGCCTTCTATAACTACATTTGGAAAGTCATCTGAAAAAAAAAAAAGAAAAATAAGATACTATGCTTTTGTATCTGTGTCAGTACAATAAAAATGTTTTTGTGAAACTTAACGAGGTAAGGCCTCGTGTAGTTTGGGTTACTGCACCACTCAACGGTTATCCGTGCTGGGGATGTGCTATTAGTAATGCTGTTTCAGCACTAAAGCCACTTTAGTGTAGCACTGGGCATTGCATGAATGCGCTGCCAGATTTGTAGTTTATTGATTTAAAGGGATGTTCTAATACTTAATGCTGCTAGGCTCCAGCTCTTTATCTGAATCTTTTCTCACAAGGAAGATGGATTACACTGGCAATTCAATTTCTAACAAAATCTCAATATACTTGAAGGAATTCCAAGATTGCTACTGGGAATACTTCAAAGCTGTTTTTCCATTGTGGTTTACAGCAATGTTTAGACTGAGGAGACTTGAGGATGCTTATACAATCAGAAATTATTATTTGAGGCAGGAAAATTTCAGGCTGTCTAATTAACATAAAATGTCACATGTTACAAAAAGTCATCCTGTAATATCTGAAGGAAAAAAACCCTACTGTGTTCTTACCACAGATGTAGAGGAAACTGGCACTTAATTTTCACATTAAATTTAGCATGAAAGAACTGCCTGATAAAACACAGTACTAGATCCACACAGAGGAATGGCAGGATGTACATTACTGAACTGAAAACATTTTTCAAATGCAGCAACTCCTGCGTTTTTATTTACTTAAATCACTGGGTATTAAAAGTAACAATGTCTGATCATATCTTACAATCTTAAAATTGCTAGTACACTAGGAAAAGAAGGACAGACTGTTTATCATACAGAATTTTCCATGCTACTCAAATCCTTCCTTCCCCTGTCAGCCTACAGCATATTCAAAAAGAGGAGATGCAACTTTTATAAAAATCATTAGATACTTGATAAATTAGATACTTAATGTGGGTGGGAATTAGATTTTACTCCTAATTCTTTGCTAACATCATTTTGAAGGTAAAAACATGGAGCAAAAAGTAGAGTTGGACTCAATAAGAAAAATAAATCTTTATTAGCTTGAAGGTGTTATTATGGGTATTAATAAGGTGATTCCAGTGTATTAAAGATGTTATAAACAGAGATATTTTAGGATGCTTTAACAAACTGCAACCTCCACCATAGACAATACATGCATAATTCTCCCCAACTTTTCATATTAAATCATCATTACAAATTACTTGTTAATATTTGGAATCCAATAATGATTCCTCAAGTCCTGCAAGCTCAGCTATCTCAAATCATCCTGGTAGAATAATCCTATGCTGTTGTCATTAATGTTTATTAAAAAGACACTTGTAAGGGCAATCTGATGCTTTCCTTCTAAATTAAATGCTGCAGTTCCAGAAACCAGTTTTTACTGGTTCTTCTATAACACATAGTATATATAGGAAAATGAGTATTGATTAAAAAAAAGATACAACTTTATAGCATCAGATTTACTGTGAAGCTTTGTTGCTTAAAAAAATCAAGCATGTTAATTTAAGTTAAATATATAAATACACCAAGGCCGTCTTGCAGATCTGTGACACTTACATGGCTTAGATAAATGGCAGAACAATTTTCAAACAAGTGACAGTAAATCTGAGATTCCATTTGTTAGCTTCTGAGCTTTTCAATTTGCAGCATTTTAGATTTTTCCTTCATTTTTCTTCAAAATAGTACGTAATTTTTTTTTTACCATCCTCTCAAAAAGAAGAGGCCACCTTACACAAAAAGTTATGTGCTCATGCATTCAGACTGTGTTAGATACATCATGAAAAAGTGAGTTGTAAAATCAATGAGTTTTGTAACTGTGAATCTTATTCCTGGAAAGTTGTCTTGTAACTCACCAATGCTTAAAGTCCATCATTAGAATAATGGCAAGACTGTATTTTAAAAAGACAAGTAACAGTGCAATTGTTCTTTAAGCATTATTTTCCTGAAACAACTATTTATTTAATTAAAAACCTGCAATTTCCTATTTTATGGGGAGATGTTAACACAGGCATTCCTGTATCCAGGAAACGCTAACTCCACTTCTGATCCAAACAACTGTCACAGTTCATCTTCTTCAAAGAGCACATACAATGAATAGTTATTTGCTAATGGACACTTACTTTTGGTCATAGTTTGAACAACCTTGGCTGCTTTTTACAAGTCAGAACTGATCTGAGAGAGAAAGTTTTAGAAAGCTCATCTATATTTCTCTGTGCTGCAAACTAAAAACCAAGAAGGCAATGGTAGCTGTGTAAGAACTTTGTTTCTTTCTAAATAGACTTGAGTCAACTCTTAGAGCCTCTAGACTTACGACTTGGTTACCTTCTTTTTTTAAACTGCAACTCATATTCCATATTCTAATTTGTGTTTTAATTCATTAAGTTAAATAATAACTTGCAAATAAATTTGATGTTTTAGGATCTTCAGATACAAAGAATATTCCTCTGCCATATGACATTCTAAATATTGCAAAAAATGCCTTGGCAAAAGCCTGAAATATCCTTTTGTTTCAGTTGTTGTGACAGTTGTTTCAGTCGTAATGACAACTTAAAGACAACTTTAAGTTGTCATTAATGAAGCCCACTTAATATTAAAAGATTTCACATGTTAGAAGAGGCTTTTATCTTAATTTAAGTAAGAGTAGTTACAAAATTCATTATAAAGTTCCTAATGATTTCAAGAATAAGAAGCTTAGCCTTACTCGGAGTACACATTAGGGAAGGAAGACAAGTGCCATCACAGAACTGCAAAATCTTAAATAGAAGTCTTACAACAAAACCTTACACATGGGCTGGAAACATTAAACACTGTCTTCATTGTTCAGGATAACTGTATATGAAATCTATTTTCTCTCTCAGGAATGGTATGGAATTAAATGATGTATACACCCTGCTCTTGAGGAATCCAAGTTTGCAATTAAGAGGAGCATTAAACAGTAAGGTTAAAACATGCAGTGGGGCTCACTCTAAATATTAGTATAGGCATCATCTGGACCAACTTTTAGACAGAAGTAACTCTGCGGGTGCCTCTGCATTACTGTTGTGTCTTGGTCAGGAGTGACCTTATGAAGTGACCATCTCCCCTTACTGTGCTTCTGTTTATCAATTTTGTGATTTGCACTCCAGCCTCAAATGTGCATTCAGTCCACGTGACCAGACTAGTGCTAAGTCAAAGTAAAAACTAAATAACCCTGTAATGTGTCTTCCAATGTGGACCTCGGTCACATAGGACCTCTGCACTCGCTGTTTCACTCTAGAACTACAGCTGTAAGATCAGTAAGACGCCATAGGGTCAATACTGTTGGGCTGCACTATGAGCTACAGTGGGTATTGCCTGAAAGAGAAGACTATTTAACCCTCTCAAAATACATGAGCCTAGTCTTTACTGTTTTCAAAACCAGCTTGAAAAGCAACAGAATCACAGAATGGTTGCAGCTGGAAGAGACAACTGGCGGTCATCTGGTCAAACCCCCTGCTCAAGCCAGTTGCCCAGGACCACGTCCAGATGGCTTCTGAGTATCTCCTGGGTTGGAAACTATCACCATTCTGGGAAACCTGTATCAGTGCTCAGTCACCCTCACAGTGACAAAGTGTTTCCTGATGCTCCTGATGTTCTTGTCCTGCTACTGGGCACCACTAAAAAGACCCTGGCTTTGTCTTCTTTACGCCCTTCCTGCAGATATACATCTCAAGATATTCATCTTGAGAAAATCTCTGGCTTCAAGCAAACAAGTGTTCTTTCCTAAATTTACTCTTACAAATTTCATTATTTTCCAGGCAGCTCAAGAACCTGACTCTTGATTTTAACACAGTATTTTGTAAAACCGAACAAAATGCCACATTAAGAAAAAAAAAAATAAAATTTGCAGCTCTGGGAGAAAATTCTCCTTTGAAAGTGTATTACAATTTTAATACAAAATTTAATAGAAGTAATAGTTCAAACAAGTAAAATGACAAAACCAGGAGGAACACACTGCTAAAAATTTTGTTTCCTGCACGCATTTAATGTAAGACAGAGGGTAAGTTCTCTGAATTAATAACGCAAAGAACTTTTTATAAAAAACAAGAGGGGTTTATAACAAGTTATTTCAAACACTCTTTTGAACCATGTATTAAGAGATGAAAGCTAACATAAATGTCCTGTGAAACACATCAATTATACTTCAAGTATACATTTTTTTTTTTGCCTAAAGAGCTCTAGAGGTTATAAATGATAAGAAATAGTAATAACCCAAATGGAAATACAAACATGCTTGCAGTATATCGACTGGTGTTTAGGGAAAAAACACTTACAAAGGACTGTGCCTCTAAGTTCAGATCCTTCATGCAAAATAGCCCAAAGGGTCAACAAGAAAAGAAAAGCAATGTTGTTCATCTTTTGATTTGAATTCTCAGTAGGTTTGCCTGAGAAAACAACTGGGAGAGAAAATTCCACCCTTTTATAAATCACCCACCCCACTTAGTGTTTTAATGGTTTCTTACACAAGGACTATTGTTTTATTGGCAGGTTATTAGACTTTGGACCAGTGTCATTTGACTAGGCCAGTATTAGTAATAATGTGGTTTATGCGATGCCAGGTCAGCTCAGTAAAGCAATGTTAACAGATGACAGGTTTGATTACCGTTGGCTTTAGGCAAGACATATGGATCCCTTAGGAACAGCAGCACAGGCTGGTGGGACAGTTTGCTGGAAAGGTCAAGAACAGGGATGTCAGTATCAAGGGACAGCAAACAGAATATTCTACAAACTAGCTTTGATAAAGTGAGGTGGTCGAGCAGTGCAGGAGCCGCGCTGGTACGTTTCTGCACACCAGTGCTGCCCAGGAAGGGCAGGTTCCACCCTGGGAAGCAAAGCTTGCCGTTCCTCGGCCACACAGTGAAACCATCAACGTGAAGTTGGAGGTGAAGGGGCTGCATCCAAGGCGGGTGGCTTGCAGCTGGCTTTGAGACCTCCTGATCGTGCTCTGCTCCCTGGTACTTGGTGTAATGCAGGCTACAAAATCACCTACAACCAGGCTCCATGGTCTACAGGTTCTTCAGGCTACCAAACAGACTTGAAATTTCACCATGATTTTCCAGCCCCCAAAGTGGTTGCTGTACACCTCACCCATGGAGAAATAGTCCTTGGGAGTCCCTCACAGGGCTGTCTCCCACCTTGGTCAGCCATCCTTCTCCAGCCAGCACCAGCCTTCTCTGCTCTGCTTTGTACATACATGTGCCCAGTAGTGCAATCAGATACATAAAAAGCTCTATCAAATGCATAGGAGAGAACCAAACCCAAACCTCTAATTCCTTCTGCTAAATCTTCTTGCTACAAAAAATACACTTCAATGGGTAAAAAATATTCCCAGAAATATTTCAGAGATAGCAGTATTCTATTAGGGTTTTGTAAGGAATTTCTCAATACAAGTGTAAGGATGCTGAATTCACGCTACAAATGGATGGATCTAGCACAGCTGATGAAACTAGCCATAATATTTAACAAACACATCTAGTTTTAATGCTAAGCTACAGCTATTTTGTCAATTGCAAGGAACAAATACAGTAAACAACAATAATTTCAAGTAGTTTATTAATCTGATGTCCTAGAATAGGAATCAAGCTCACCTTGATTCTTCAGATTCAGTTTCATCAAAAGAGCTGCAAGTAAAGTGAGAGGAAACTTTGGTTACAACAAAATTAACTCTACAATAAAAAAACCCAAACAAACCTTTAAGAATCATCAAGGGAAGCAATCTTTTCCTGGTCAGTAGCTGCATAGTGCAGTGTGATGAAATGAATATTGGAGATCGTATCATTTTACAACCACTCCTACTTGGAAACGACAGCATCCTTTTTACTCTAACAGATTCACAAGCACAGCTATCTATCTATGAAGTGATGGGGTACAGTCCCACCAAGGGTACTGGCTGATGTCATTAACTACAAGTGAAAACTACAAGTCTGTTAGCTTCTGAATCACTCTGGAGACTGCCCTGGGCCATAGACACCTCAGAGTGTAAGACAGCTTCAAAATTACTTCTGCTTTTTTCAACTTGCCTCCTCTCCACCACAGATCCACATAGCCTTCTCTAAAGTGGAAGAGGGCCACATAGCTTTCTGGGGAGTAAATTCTGGTAGCACTGCTTGACTTTCCAACTATGTCAGCTTGCACAGTGAAAAAAATTATTCTCCCTACAAACCCCACAGCTGCAGATGGTAACAGAGCTTCCAATTACACTGTTTTGGGTATTTCTCTGGTCATTACACTCATCGTAAACATACTAAGATCCCCTTCACCCACCCTGATCAAGAACCCTCCCAGGGGAAGGGCAATGAGGCCATCAGGGTAGATGTCATCAGAAAGGTGGAAGACTCAATTTTCAAACACACAGAGGGAGACATAAAATGATCATAGAATGAACTTCTATTTTGTCCAGGTACTATGACCATAAAACACACGCAAAGGCTTTCTATGCAAATTTAGTGAGTGTTTACGAATATGTTACAAAATTCATTTCAGTAGATACTTCAAGATTGATGAGAAAATCACACTTTTCTCATCTAAACTCCCATTTGCTTTCCAAGAATATTACGTTAAACCTCACTTCTATCTTTGAACAGGCTGGATTTATTTTACCACCTTTTGGGGATATATAAACATACTTAACATGAACCTAATGCCCATTTATTTTACAGCGTTAGAGTTGGCAGTAAGACCATTTTAAGTCAATGGAATTGCATCAGCACTGAGTGGATATGGGCCTTTTGGCCTCCACATATTTTTCAGAAAATGAGGGCTTACCCACAGCTTTCTGCTTTTGGCAAGGTAGGTACATGGCGAACGTTCAGGAAATCGAGAAATATTTTAGGGAGCTCTTCATTTTCTAAAATGACTGTCTGTAAAAAAAAAGAAAAAAAAGCACAATAGAGACCCCGAGATTTTTTTATATTTTAGATACTGTACACTTGTATTTAAGCTACCAAAACATTTCCCACTTGTGACACTTTTCAGTTCTCCAATTTTTTTACACCTATTTTGGAGTGCTTCAAATAGGAAAACCACAGTTCTTAATGAATGACATATAAATACATTCATCTTATGCTACTACATTCTTTTTCACCTGCCATCACTGGTGCCAAGCTAGATGCCTCTCAAGCAGAGATGTCTGATTCTGGCACTAAGTTATTGGCACGCTCATTTGTGAATAAAATTCTGTTTATTTAAAATATAAAATAAAGCAGCTACAGCTCAGTGCTTTCACGTCCACCTCACAGAAGACTCCTGTCTGGCACATCAGTGGAAAAAGGAAGTCTCCACTTTGTACAATTTTATTAATGCATGCCTTGGTAAATGCTAACAAGGGAAACCCTTTGTTTGGCTTGACAGATCAGCTTTCAACATACTCCTTATATCTGTGCTGTGACTCCTAATGACAAAGCTCTGACCAAAGACCTGCTGACTAAACCTGCCACATTCTTCCACTGCAATGACATAATGGCCAGACTCCATTCTCCTTTGTTTTTTCCATTGATGAGATGATTTACAATTTTCAGTAAGTTAATTACAAGTACACTTAAAAACATGTAGCAAGTAAATGAGATGCTCAGGTGCACGTTCATCATGAAAGAATGACTTTTAAAGGAAACAGATCTCTGACAGTTTCATAGAGGCAGACCAAAAATTATCGTTGATCTCTAATTTTCATGAGGCAAACAAAACAGTTCCTAAATTCAACAAATGTCTCACCTGAAAGAGTAAGCCTCTGTTAATTTACTGTTCATACTGCCATGCATTCTGATAACACATATACTTCACATGCAAATGAAAGCCACAAGCTCTCCCTTAAAAAGCTTTTCTTCATAAAGGTCTGATCCGGAGTGAAGGTATGTGTGGAAGAAACTTCACTACATTTATAAATAAAATGACTTATACAAGTAAAGCTCTTCACGTTCATCCTGTTCATTCTCACACTCTATGTTAGAAGAAACTAACCTAGAGAAAAAACAAGACCAGTGACGAGAAGAAACATCACTTTATTTACGCTCTCAGGAGGTAACTTATTCCTGCATGTGGACTCTTTTACATTATAGTGTCACTAGGGAGATGCAATGGTAGGGAGAAGATAAGAGGATCACAAAAAAATTAGGTTGGAAGAGACATCTAGAGGTCATCTGGATTTTATAGCAGGTTTTATAGCAAATAATTTGGTTATTTGTGTAGTGAAAACCCAGTTAGTGTAAAAATTAGAGATGTGCATAGACTTAAGAGAGAAACACATTTGAAAACAAAGATATTTGAGATCTGGCTCTTTTCTTTATGTTACATCTGCAAACCTGAATTGAGAGGCTACATTTCTTCAACAGCTGAGGCCATTACTAACAAGTTTGAAAAAAAAGAACAGGGAAAAATGCAGCTTTTGAACTTTTCTGGTCTAGATTTTAATGGATGTAAGAAACAGGGAGGTCTGAAATGTTGGCAAGCTTTAAGCCTTTCAGTTCACCTCTATATGAAGATGCTGCATTAAAAAATGCCACTTCATTTGCATTCTGCAAAATCAGCACTCTGCTGCTGCAAAAATTATCTTGTTCTGCATTCAGGTTATGCACTGAAGGAGGGCTGGAGGTGGATGCATATTCAGAAGGTGTGTGAATTGCATAACAATGTGTATGATTTGCTGAAATAAAACCATCTTACTAATTATATGCAATGAAGACCTGCAAAAAGTTGTATAAAGATGTCTAAGGGCATCCAGTGCTTGCATGCAACCTCATACTTACACCTCCTGACAGCTTTTTCCAAAAGTTGAGCTGCCTGCTGAGGCTGCTGAACAGAACAGTGATTCTCAGGGAAGAAGAGAAGGATACATAAAAGGAAAACTCCCGACAGCTCTTACAAACCTATCTGTTTCTATTTCACTCACTCCATGTTAATATCTCATTCCATTTCTTTTTTTTTTTTCATGACATACATCAAGTCAACCCAAGCCCTACTAACCTGCCCCAACCAAATACATTTCACAAAAGATGTAAGTAAACAGCATCTGTTCTAGTGTGTTAATCCATGTAGTTTGTTAACTGCCAATAACTCTGCTTTGGTGATCAATAAACTTGAAAATGTAGAATTTGCAGAGAAGGAAAGGCGATTTTGCACTGCACTGTATTTTGGATGCTGCCTCTGTTGATTAGGAATTTTGTCATTTCCAGAATTTTACGGAGGGAGGAATGGCTGCATTGAACAAAGGAGGGTTTTTCAACTGATTTAGTGTAATGTGACATGCATTTTAAGGAATTAAAAAATAAATGAAGGTACATTTAATTATACTAATAAGGGGGTACATTATCTTCTGGCTTGACTTTGTTGTCTTCCGTAGAAATAAGGGGCAGCCTATAATCCAACCATTTAATATACATGGTAGAAAACAGAAGAAAGAGGAAAAAAAACACTGAGGAGAAAAAAAAAAAGGCAGCCACAGTGGATTAGGTGTGTCCATCTAGCTGCATTTCCTACCTCTGGTGGTGGCCCAAAGCAGATGCCCAGAGAAAAACGAAAGCACTCTCAACTTCCTATTTAAGTTGTTCAAAAAAATACTCTTAAATCAGAAATAAATTTTATCATAATTGGCTTAATTTACCTGGAACAACCCATAACACAACAGATCATTCACTTCTCACTGAAAACTTGTAAGAAATACATATTTTGCAAACTTGATGATCATTAAATAATGGCTGAGCAGAAAAAGAGCCAGCAGGTAAAGTCTCTAAACCACTATCTATAATTTGTGATGTAATGTGCTCAACCGTAGCTTTTGTTCAAGTGAGTATAAGACAAAAAGTATGACTACTACCTTGTTTGCTCTGCAATTAGAAACTTAAGGATATATATTTTCAAAGAAATAAAATCTCACAATTAGTTTGTTAGTGATGTGAATTACTAATACATCTGAATTCTACCAAGATCATAACAATGAGTTTCAGATATGGGCCCCAGAATGCTAGGTAGACAAATTTAAGAAAAAAAACAACCATTATGTGTATTTCCTTCCTACAATAAATAAAAAACCCCAAAACTAAAACACCTAACACAACCTCTGGTAAGTGATTTGGGAAGTGACTCCAGAAATACATTTTTCAAACTCATTGATTTCAGCTGAACTAAGAGTATAAGCGCCGTATTTTCTTAGAAAATCGTAAAGGGTGTTTATCTGTTACTGTCACACTTTAATAAACTACTCCATGTTTCAGGAAAAAAAAAAAGCCAAACCAAAACCACAAGGGAAAGCCTGATGTTTACATCAGCAGAAATGTCTTTTTCATCGAAAGGGTGCAATTATTATTATGTAACACAAATCACAAAAGTCCCAACTTTTCTACCTTATCAGTTTCATAAAATCCTATTCCCTAAGGATGTAATTGATTAGACGCACATGTTCTTTCAGTGACATCTGAAATTCTTAATTGTTGGTTATCTTTTCTCCTTCAGCAAGTAAAAGATAGTCACAAAATTGCAAAGGGACTTGTTCTGCCTTAACCTTAGCTAGATGCCATCATGCAGTGGAAAACAGTGCTAAAATATCACAGGATAATGCTCTCCAACAAGGGAGATATATAAACAGCATAATGATTTCCCACGAGTTTCCTTTTTAGAAAATTGTCACTAAAGCCAGGGTAAATGGTGACATATCTTCACAGAGGACACTGCGAAATCGAACACTGGCATTCTGGTTAGGTCCAAACCTACTCATCAGCCAATTATAACAGTAACTGAACATCTTGCTGAAAACCCGAACAAGACCACTTTCCTAACCTTAGGAGATCATGCCACAGGAATGCATTGCTTTCACAGATTTTTACTATTATTATTGTTGTTGTTCTTAATGAAGAAAGATTTAAAAACGTATTTCTTACAATTGTCTATCGTACTTTCTCAGGGTTGGTGGAACAGCTGTTGGAGGGGAAGAAGTGAGAGTGGGGAGCTGAGTTACGAGGTTTTTAAGAGTCTTTACAGACTTTTCCATTCGTGTTTAGTTTGAAATGCTGTACTGTTAGGGTGAAAAAGTTCATGACAGTTTTTCCTCTCTTCACAGGGAAAGACGCTTCACAATACCTAATTCAGTGGTGCAGCTAAAACGGGGGAGAAGAAAATCAATACATTCCAGCTACAGTAAGTAGGCTGGAGTGTCAGTCTCCACTGGGACCAAAACCCACATCTTTTAGAACAGTTTAGAGTCTATATTCTTCTATTAACCTGCTTTTCCTGAACTGCTTTACACAGTCCCATGAAATGATAAAAAGGTTACAAAAAGAATACATTAACTAAAAACCAAGTAGATGAAAGAACCAGACTTCTAAGAGCAAGCTTTCCTTTTTCAAAACTTAACAGCAGATACAATAATGATTTATATTACCTATCGTGAAGAACTATGAAGAAACTCACTCCCTTCTTCCGTGAGGATGTTGTTATAGGCTATCAACAAGAATTATTTCTAAACAAGATGTCACTGAAGTTGTCAGAGTAAGGACTCTCCACTTTTCATTACTACTGGAAACATTCACTGATGGGCAGTTTTGTAAGAACAGGAGGAGGTTATTAAACATGCTTAAAACCCTGTATCTTTATACAAGAAGCATGCAAACACACATACAATGACACAGAAGTGATGCTCCATATGAAGTACCAGCTAGCTAACACTCCCAGGCTGTGTATCAAAGGGAAGTCAACAGTAAGAATGCCATCTACACAGTGGAGCTTGAAATGGAACAAGATATTGACTGTAGGTATTATATGCCAAAATACTTCCACCAAAGATCCCTAAGTTATCTGAAAGTTAATGTAAAATGTTCATGTAAAATCACAAAAGTAAAAAAATAACAAAAATTGCAGAGGGGAATTGCACCTC